GCGCCTGGACTCTGCAGCTGGAGCACTCCTGGTAATCCACCTCCACAAGAAGCATAGAGCTTGCTGCACCCTGGCTGAAATGCCCAGGTGTCAGTGTGGATGACGTGTTGCATTACTGCACTGTGATTGGCCTCCGGAAATGTCCCATAATCCCTTGAAGTCAAGTGGCCACTCTTGTCGTTGTTTTGAACTCAGCTGCAGGCATGGGGATATCCCCTTTCAAAGCTCCGTTTCTGACAGCCGGCATGCTTAACTGCTCTGGGACAAAGCTAACCATTACTGTGGAATGCTGCTGCTGCTGCCGAGGCAGACTGTGTGTGGGGAAGGGGGAGCGGGGGCTGATGGGGTTTCCCCCTGCCGCTGTCTGAACTTACAAGACAGCATGCTGACACACTCTGCCTCCCAAAACACACTGTCTCTCCCCCCACATACACACTCCTTGTCACACTCCACCCCCTCCACCATTTGAAAAGCACGCTGCAGCCACTTGCACACTCGGATAGCTACCACAGTGCACTGCTCTCTGTGGCGTTGCAAGAGCTGCTAATGTGGTCACGCCACTGCGCTTGCAGCTGACAGTGTAAACACACGGCAGCCCTTTCCCTGCTGCTGTCTCCGAAGGCTGGTTTAACTCTGAGCGCTCTACATCTGCAAGTGTAGCCATGCCCTTAGGAAGGGACCTTTAAGTACAGGAAGTTATTTACTAGAGTTCTTTGCATACCTCCCTGGCCTGAGATCTTGCTTGGAGATGGGGAGCTGCTTGCAGGTATAAGACTGGAATGATTTCTATTATTAGCCAAGAGGCAATTTATGTTCTTCACATCTACATACCACGCACTATGGGCTCAGTCCCGTTCCTGTGGCTCCGAGTCTTCACTGGAGGTTTTACCAGACTAGCCCTTTACAAGCATATTAGGTACCTTGAGCAACGAGTAATCAATTAACTCCGGTAAAAATGCTAGTGTAGACATGCCCATTGAGGTCAGTAGCAGCAGCAGGAACAGTCCTTACGTTCTGCCTTCCACTACCCAGTCGTCCATTGTATGGCTAGTTGTCAGAAAAATAAAAAGAGCGAAAGAAAATAGTAAGTTTCACTTACTCATGTCTTAAAACAGTGTGTCCTGTTCATACCCATATTCTTTCCTCAACCCAACCAAAACGAGCTACACCCGCTTTCAATCATCAGTCCTCATGACTGTATTTGCCACATCAACTGTCATGGAACCATAAGCAGAACAAGCACATTGAAAAGTTATTCATCTGTATAAAATATATTGTTAAAGTAATATGTTTACAAGGTACTAGGAAGGAGGGGAAATTGAGTTATTGCTTCATTTCCCCCTTGTCTCATTGGTTTTCATGTCTGCCAATACGTACACACTGGAAAAAACATGAAGGCCACAATTTTCACATCTGGATGTCTAGGGTTAGACTTCCAAGTCCAAATTTAGGTATCTTCATAAAAGTGGCCTTTTTTTTTTCTTTCTCTGAGTGAGCACTTAAAGATCCCTTTGACTTCAGTTAGATTTGTGGGTGCTCAGCACTTCTGTATTCAGGCACTTACACAAAAGAGGCCTGACTTTTAGAAGTGAAGAGTATCCACAAATCCCAATTTTGGCCTAAGCTCATAAACTTAAATATGAAATTTCTGTTCCTCTGCCTTACGTGTCTGCTGTGAGAACAGTTATATATCCTCCTTTGAATCTGCCTCTTTTAATAGCTCCTCTCTCTCAGCAGTGTGCCAACCCACTTACCTTTTTCTGACCTCTTCCTTTGCTCCAGTGTCTCTTGGCAAATGGGAGAGTCAAAACTGAATACAGTATTTTAAACTGTGTCAAATTAATATCTCTTTATTGAAATTTAAAGATGTTATATATAAAGTCCCTATGTATATAATAATACCCTTAAAAATCTTAATCCTAGCCACCTAGCATGGGTGCTTTGCTAAGCAAAAGTGATAGTTTTGTTCTACAGCCTTCTCAAAGGTATTTTTATTGGAAAGAAAAAGTGTATGTGCGTATAAGAATTCTGTGGAGGAGGAGTTGGTCTTGTTATCTTTAGTGCGTAGGCATATTTTCACATTTAGGTAGAATCATTAGCATATGTGAATAGAAAGAACGATTAACTAATCTATCTCAATCCTGGTAAATCCTAACAATGTCATTTGGGGCTGTTTGATCCTACAGCTAGTCACTGTAAGTGTTATACTTCCTACTCTACCCACTAAATATCATTTTGTCTCTATTATAACATGATCCATGAGCATTACAGAGGTGTTGGGGGTTTTCTCTCTTTTTTTCAAACAAGACCAATCCAACCATAAGGTTGAGTTTTAGTTGATGGCAATGGCATGGTATGTTTGTTTTACTACTAGAGATGTAGGTGCTTGCTCACTCATTTGAGTCAATGTATGAGTCTGGTTTTAATCTTCCATAACTGCCCTAATGCTGCTGTTCTATATTTTGGGAACCCTCTAAAGAAGTTTCAGTCCCAGAATAATGTTTTGATTAATACATTTAATCATGCGGAAAACACTGATTTTTATCAGCTTCGTGACCCCTAGAAGTACCAAATGTAATACAGCACCCAGTATTCTTACTGGTACCCACACTTCATTGCTGCTATAGATCAAACCATCTCAAAGTTTTAGTCCAGTTTCTTTTATGAAGCCAGACATGTGGGGATTGTCAGAGTATTTGAAGATTATCTCTGCATATTTACACTTATAGTATGTGTTGTGGAAGAGAGTATATCTTTACTATTTCTTAGAAGTCATACCACTTCATACTCCGAGGTTGTCAGGTCACACAAGCTAAGCAGGGTCAATACATGCACAAAAGACCTCAGAGGAACAAGGCGATGCTTCAAGAAATGGTGTGGGTCACTATATGACAGACTGACAGTATCCTGTAGTATCCTGAATGAACTTCATTGAATTAAGTTAAACCTTTCTGAATTAGGATTGCTATCTTTGGGGTACATTATATTAGAAATGCAAATGTTTATGTATTGTGAGATTAGTATGGAAGTGCTTTAGCAGGAAGATGGGATTAATGCAATTTCTGGAAGGTATGAGAAAGTTCAAAGGACTTTTTAGGACAATACCCATGGATTGGATTTTCTAGGAAGTAGCTGGGGAATGCAAGTGACACACTTTGAATCCACCCTTTTGAATGTATGCCTGGGGGAAAAAACTATGTCTGCTAATTACCTGCTCTTGAAATAAAAGGGTAAACATGTCATGATTGTGCATGTTCTGAGCTGAAGCTGTGATGAGCTGGTAACTACCTCAGGTCTCCCCTAGGGCTGGGGTTGCTGAAGGTCTGCTCTGCCAGAATCAGTGTTAGGACTGGGCAGTTCGTGGTAAACTCATTAACATGCAGGTAGACTCTTTGATTTCTCTCTATGCTAGAACCTAAGAACGGCCATACTGGGTCAGACCAATAGTCCATCTAGCCCAGTATCCTGTCTTCCGACAGCACCAATACCAGATGCTTCAGAGGGAATGAACAGAACAGGGTAATTATCGAGCCACTCCTAGCTTCTGGCAGTCGGAGGCAAGGGACACTCAGAGCCTGGGGTTGCTTCCCTGACCATCTTGGCTAAAAGCCATTGATGGACCCATCCTCCATGAACTTATCTAATTCTTTCTTGAACCCAGTTACAGTATAGTTTTGGCCTGCACAACAATCATTGGTAGTGAGTTGACAAGTCGACTGGGTTGTATGAAGAAGTACTTCCTTTTGCTTTAAAGCTGCTGCCTGTTAATTTCATTGGGTGAGCCCTGGTTCTTGTGTTATGTGAAGGAGTAAATAATACTTCCTTATTCATTTTCTCCACACTATTCATGATATTTTAGACCTCTATCATATCTCCCCATAGTCATCTGTTTTCCAAGTTGAAAAGTCTTGTCTTTTTAATCTCTCCTTGTATGGAAGCTATTCCATACTCTTAATCATTTTTGTTGCCCTTCTCTGTACCTTTTCCAATTCTAATATATCTTTTTTGAGATGGGGAGACAAGAACAGCACACAGTATTCAAAGTGTGGGCGTACCATGGATTTATATAGAGGCATTATGATATTAATGTCTTACTATCTATCCCTTTCCTAATGGTTCCTAACATTCTGTTGGCTTTTTGGACTGCCGCTGCACATTGACTAGATGTTTTCAAAGAACTATCCATGCTTTGATAAACCAAGAGAAATGTGTAAATAAATGTTAGTCTTGTTTACTGCCGTAACTGATCTCTGTTCTAAAAATTATTGTGAAAAGGTTCTCCTAGTTGCTGATTTAACTGACAAAACACCTTAAATTGTTTAAAACAGGCACTGTCTGATTAAATTGTGTCCACAATTTTGCTCTTGTTTAAACAAATATGTTTTAAACATATTTTACAAAGATGTATGAACAATAAAAATTCTCATAATTTTAATTCTGGAGGAAACATTTTTAAACAAACATTCCCCTGCTGTTTGCCACTCAAACATCACAGCATTCTGCTATTGTGTTAAGAATAGAAAATGAAAGTGACTAGGCTATTTTCAGTCAAAGCTGAAAAAAATGAAGCCTAAACTTAAGCTGTTTAAAAGTTAATAAGATTTATTTATATTATTTCAGTTCTCATAATTTAAGATCAGATTTGTAGGATAGGTAACGATGTTTTCTCTGAAAGCACATGGTTTTAAACTGGCAGTATCATTCTCTTTTGTATTTAGAGGAATATAATATACTATAGGAATATAGAGGAATATAATATAGCTCATTGGTTCCTTTGGGAGGACTTTAGCACTGCAGCACTCAGCAATCCTTTTCATTCCTGGGTTGGCAATATATTCACTCCCTTGGTGATAGGGAAGGACCAGGCGTGTGTCTCTCTAAAAGCATTATAAAAATCAAGTTCAATCCTTAAACAGAAACAAAAAAACCTTTCCAAGGCTTTTGTATGAATGACTCAGTTGTGTGTTAAAGAGATGTCTTTCCTTTCTGTTCCAACCCAGATACGAGTATCACTGGGCAGATGGGACAAACATAAAGAAACCAATCAAGTGCTCAGCACCAAAGTACATTGATTACCTGATGACTTGGGTCCAGGATCAACTGGATGACGAAACACTATTTCCATCCAAAATAGGTAAAAATGAACAGTGAAATCAGCATCCTGTTGTACAGGACTATTAAGATCTCTTGGCATTGAAAAGCATGTATAGCTTTGTGTCTGAATTTACAGGAAGGAAAAAATATTGATTCAACCCCAAAGGGAACTCAGCAATAAATAGAAATAGTGAACTGTTGAATATTGAGTTGTTATTTAAATGATTAGTGACTCCTGTAGGACAGTTAAAGAACAATTTATTAGTACACTGAAGGTACTTGCATCTGTTTAAGCAGGTACAATTTGTGTGCCTGGCTATCAGACATGATACATAAAAGAGCAATCCTTAATAAAAACCTGTTAAAATTCAGGATGTAGAAAAAGGGTGTTTCTATTTAATAAGCAACTGTATTTTCATTGATTCTTCAGCTATCTCCTTTTAAAAAGCAGGGTGTTGCTCTAGAGAAATAGGAGAGGAGGAAAAGTAATTCCAACCCCTGTACCCTATCCTTAGTATCTTTTTGCAGAATATAGTGTTTTCCCAACTACCAAAATAAGTTTCTGTGCAGGAAAGACGCATAGCCCCAAGGAGGCATTCCCCTACTGGGTCAGCTTTGCACCCTTGATCGTGAATACAGAACTTATTGTTTACAAATAAATTGGGAAATGTTTTGTTTTGAGGAGGCTTCTTTAAATGCATGGCACTATTCAGCAAGCAGCTAATGACAGCCCATTTTAAAAAATGGACCATCTGTCAAAATCAAATGGCTTTTGCTTTTACTTGTTCATGGTTTTAGTCAGGTGCAATGAACCTATAATAGGTTTTGTTTTTTAAGTCATCCCTCTTCCCAGCAATACCCTGCTCAGTAGGTGGCAACGTAGAACCTGTTAGCAAGATGGCATTTGCTTTAGTGCTTCAGTTCAGAGCTGTTGGGCACAGCGAGTGGGGGAGAGGAAAGCTGCTTTTATTATTATTAACAGTAATGTTAATAGTGCTTTTTAATTATTCAATATTGATCTTACTGTAGTGCACAGAGGGCTCGGATCTCCATTTTGTTTGGCCCTGTTCAAGTATATATGAAGCCTTTTTTTAATAGGATGAGGGACTATATTTTGGAAAGCAGTGACTCAGAAAATGACTAACAGGGTCATAGTGGATAACCAAGTGAACATGCACTGCTAATGTGATGCAGTAGCTTAAGAGAGCAAATGCAATCCTTAGATGTATAAGCAAGGAAATATTGAGTAGGAGTAAGGAGGTTTTATTACCCCAGTATAAGGGATTAGTGAGACCACTACTGACATACTCCGTCCAGTTCTGGTGTCCACAGTGTAAAGGGTATGTTGATAAATTGGAAAGAGTTCAGAAAAGAGCTACAGGAATGATTTGAAGTCTGTCGTAAGGTGAGACACAAAAGAAGCTCAATCTATTTAGTTTATCCAAGAGAAGGTAGAGAGGTAACTTGATCATAGTTATGTATCTATATGGAGAGAAGATTTCTGATAGTAGAGGACACTTTAATCTAGCAGACTAAGGCATAACAAGTGGGTGGAAGCTGAAGCTAGACAAATTCAAACTAGAAATCAGGTGCAATTTTTTTGACAGCAAGGGTAGCCATTGGAACAATTTATGCAGAGACGCGGGGGATTTTCCATCATTTGAAGTCTTTAAAGCAAGAATGGGATGTCTTTCTTCAACATATGCTCTAACTCAGATAGGAGTTATGGGCTTGATGTAGGAATCACGGGTGAAATCCGTGGCCTGTGTTATGTGCTAAGTGAGCATAATCGTCCCTCTGGCTTTAAAATCTATGAAGACCCAGTTTTTGCCCCAAAGCGCTTACCATACGTTTGTTTCTTTTTAGGTGTTCCTTTCCCAAAGAACTTCATGTCAGTGGCAAAGACCATTCTAAAGCGTCTCTTTAGAGTTTATGCTCACATTTACCACCAGCACTTTGATCCAGTAATCCAGCTACAAGAAGAGGCACATCTTAACACATCCTTCAAGCACTTTATTTTTTTTGTTCAGGTAAATTAGCATAAGAATGCTGTGATAATGGTTGCCTTCTACTCTGAAGACAGCATATATTAAAATGTCGATATATAAAAATACCATTCTTTGAGTTTTCTAGCAGTTGATATAGAAGCAGGTGTTTTTACATAATTGGGCAGCTCTAAGCCCAAGATGCTACCTTATTGGTATTGTAGTGTATAATTATTGCTATAAGTATTAACAGATTGCAACAGTGGATTATGACATGTTTCCACAAGACAGACAAGTACCAAAGAAAACCTTAATTCACAGCCAGTAGAAGAAGAAAACTCTGAAATCAAGCTGCAGGGAGTGCATTTCCTGGCTGCTACTGTTTTCCATCAAGGAAGTGGCCCTTTAGAAGTTATGAAAGGGGGAATACTGTCTGAGCAGCATTGCTGGATGGCCTTAATGCAGAACAGGATCTGAGAAGGGAGTTTACTGAGTGTGAAGTAAAATCTTTTTTTGGAATATAGATCTACCAGGCACTTTATTGAGTGCACTAATTCATTTCACATAGGCTGCTGAATAGCCTTCTGATTGTAACCATGTTTAGTCATTAGTGACCTAGATTGGATTTGAACCAGCTACCTACATGTTGAAAATGGCTAACAGGTAAGCCTGGACGATTGCAAACTCCAGGGTAACTTTATAATTAAATGTAAAGCTGGTACTAACACTACATTGTCTGTTCAAGTAAAATGTTGTTTTTCCCCCTCTTCTACAGGAATTCAACCTTATTGACAGAAGAGAACTGGCTCCACTTCAAGAACTGATTGAAAAACTGACCTCCAAGGATAGATAAAAGGAAGTGGATTTGTGGAAATAGCAAGCGTGTGGTATTTCTGGGGTTTTTGTTTGTTTGTTTTGTTCTGTTTTGAAAACAAAACAAAACCTTGTTCTGTTCTTACAGGCAGCCAAGATCCATTCTTTGTGCTTTTATTAGGGGAAATCTTTGTCTTTTAGTGACATGCAGTAAATGACTTTTTTTTTCTCATTGTGGATTTTTAGTAGATTTTGAGTGTTTATAGAGGAAGTATGCTTGTTGGGAGATTTGACACTGCTGATGGATGGGTTCTGTTTTGTGTCAATTGTAGCCCATTCTCATGAAGTCCCTAAAAGAACTTACATTCTCTAAGTGCCTTGGCAGACTCACTTCTGAGGTGCAAAGCACACACATTACTGAACATTGCTGGAAACAGAAAATATAACCTACCCAGGACACTTACTGATGCTTGGTTTAGAATATATATGCTTAAAGTACAAAAGCCATAACTTACTTAAATCAGTGATCTCCAGCTTTTAATACACAGCATCACCATTTTTTAAGAGAGATGAATATAAAGCTTCTCAAAACTAGGTATTTCTAAAAAAACAAAAAAAGTAAAAATAAAAAATTATAGTGATGGTGACACTTCAGCTCATGTCCTAGTCACCAGACCTAAATGATAACGATTTTAAAACCATGGACAACCCAGGATAGCAGAGGGCTGGCTCTCCATTCCACTGTAATTTTGCACTGCTTGTTACATATATTTATTTTGTTAATACAAATATCAACTCAGGCCAGCCTAATGTACTGTAAGGTACATTACTTCCTTTAATAAAGTTTCCTAGTATTTCCCAAATGAGCCAACCAATTTGCAAAAGTGTCTTCAGTGAGAAGGAAAGATCTATTTATTCATCATCAAAAATGACACGTAGGTAATATTAAGAAAAATCTTGTTTTAAATCCACTAGAGTGATGCCATTTAAATGTGAACAGTAAAAAGCTAACTCAAGATTAGAGCTCAGATTCTCAAGCTTTTTCATAAGAGAACATCTCTTTGTAGAAAGATTGTCTTGTGGACCACTTTCCATTTGCAATCAGAAGGCCAACAGCCCATCTCATTCATAATTGTATGAGGTGTCTGTGGTAACTATAGCAATTGTTTACACGGGGAAAGTTATATTAAGTAAGATTTGTATATTTTAGCTGTTTTTAGTGTGGCAAGTGCTTTTGTTCTTTTTGAGAAAACAATCACACAATCTCCTTTTTCATATCTCCCTCCCTTTCTGGTCCTGTTTCTCTCAAACTGGAAACTGGGAGAACCAGTACCATGTGACAAGACATTTCCATTGACCACCTGAAAGTAGTCCACAGACTACTATTTGGACATCTCTGTGCAATAGCTATGTGAAACTCAGGGGGTTGCCATCTCAGAAATTCATATGGAATGTATCTTTGCTTTCAGTCTGTGTATCTTTGTATCTATCCAATTTTGGCTTCAAATACATTTGACTTACACATTTGTAATGTGCCATTGTGCCATCCCCATAGTATCATCAGTATCTAGGTGCCAAATCTCAAAATGAAAAAGTAGCCAGTTTTCACCTGCTCTTGCATCATAACTTAGCAGAACCACAGATTTTACATGATTTTGATGCAAAGACGTAAATTGACCCATGATACTGACCTCCTTTGTAAAGCACTTTGAGAGCTAAAGATGAAAAGCACTATAAAAGAACTAGCTATTATTATTATGCACTACCATGGCTCTTGAACCTTGGTGATCTTTAGATTTTTACAGTTTGTGACAGAACAATAGAAGTGTTGCAGGATATCCTGAAACCGTGCAAACATTTCACACACCTGCTTGACACACATTTTTGACTTTGATAGTTAGGAGTGGGTAATTATGTATGGAAAAACACAATTACACATGCAAAGAGCCTGCAAAATTTGTAACTGGCCATTTGTGCTTGCAGATGTAACTGGTATTTGCATAAACAGATTACATACACACTTAATTTTGGAAGTCAGGCCTACATTCTTGAATTAGGAAACTCCATTGCTTTCCTATTACTTACTTACTGAGCAAAATCATCTGAAGCTTGAAAACAACCTTTTACCTAACTAAACAAAGATTTCTAGTGTAGCAAAAGCTGATATTAGCTGACTTTTTGTTTGCTTCACCGATTACTAATATCGTAATCTTATTTGTTTCTTGAACTAAGCATAGCTCTGGGAATCCAGCCATGGACTAGCAAACTGCCTTGATAGTCTGTTCAGTGCATCTCCTTTATAGAAAGACCAAGTTTTAGATAGCTGTTACCTGAGCTTCCCTTACTAATTTGTAAGCCGTGCTCACATTGTATCTTACAATTGATTACACTAGTATGGCAGCAATTGTTGGCAGCAGAGAAGTTAAAATTATAATTATCATTCAGACATTGTTCCTTCAGCTTCATCAAAATGTTTCTTTAAGATATACAAATCCCTTGCATGTCTGTTAGCTGATCTACGTCTTGGATTTATAGGTCAAATTACAGCACAGGGTTTTATTGGCCTTAAAGACAAACTGCCAAGGAGTGGGGGAAGCAATTAGGTTTGTCTTTTTTTCCCCTTCTTTGTGATATATCTAGGTCTGAAAGATGTTCCCAAAAAATGGGGTGAAAAGGAGAAGAAGCTGCCATTCTTTTGCTCTCTTATATTAGAAATGTCAGGTCTCGGCTTCCTGTTTTTTCTGGAAGCCTCCGTGAAAAACCGGAGTGGGAGCTTTCTGAGCCCACAGTTAAAGGGTCAAGATGTTTGAATCTTTCACACAGATTGATTTTCTTTCAAGTATTTGAACAAAAAACAGGTTTAAAAAGTCAGACTAAAATCCCCTCTCCTCTCAATTGCTGATGTTCCAGTCTCTCCCTTATGTGAAAAAAACAAACAGAACCCCTTACCTGCTTTTGGGAAGAAGATCTTTGAGATCTTCCTACATCAGAAAGAAGTAAAAAGGGTACAAACACAATTTGTTTTCCTATAACTGGAATATTCACACCCAACGTTTTACTAACTCACTGTTCCTAGAGTTTATAGGCTCTGGGCCAGTACTACTAGGAAGAGCATAGCAATGTGTAATTTACTTCAGGAGTCCACAGCAAGGGCAGCTTGGATGTGCTTCAGACAGCAGTGCATGCACTAGCTGGCTGTACGTCTGAATGCACTCCCTAGTGTCAGAACATGCCCACTCTGAGAAAGCGGTGTACTGGCTTGTGCAAGAACCAGTCCCCCCACCTCTCATTCAAGTGTTGGAGAAAGAGATTCCCTGTGTGTGTCTCCCCCCCGCCCCGCCCAGCAAACTGTGCTGTGCACATAAAAGGGGCTGGTCTTGGTCTCCTATGTGAAGTAAGATCACAGGGAACTTGATACTTATCTAGGCTGAGCTGCACAAATCGGTGCCTGAGTATTGGTCTGAATACTTTATTTCCTTGCTTTTGGGGGCTATTCACGTGTGTGGGATGGGGTAGACAACTGATCCAGATCCTAAATCCAGTTTCAGAACTCTAGCTATAATTAACTGTAGATCTGTTATGGTCCGAGGGGCTCTTTAGTTCCTGGATAATTACTCAACAGACTAAATGGTGCTGGCATCCATCTGACTATTCAGAGGGCAGAGTCATCCCCTAAAACTTAAACTGAACAAACTGTTCTAATGCACTTCAGACATGAAGAAAACTACATTTTTAAATTGCTCTTGGGTCTGTGGCCTTTTATGCTTCGCTTCAGTCTGAAGAACATTTTATAGCTGAAAATTGGGGGCTTGTAATGGAAATACACTGACAGGCTTTTAATCGTATGGAGGCGTAAATGGTGCTGCTTTTAATAGCTAACAGCATCTGCATCGTTAATTTTCATTTCCACTGAAAACTGCTTTGCTGAGCTTACTGTAATCAGTATTGGTTTACAGGCTAGTGTGGGTGTTCAGTGTGCAGATTATGCTTCTGGCAAGAGGAAAAAGATTTTGACCATTGGTAATCTTCTCGCATCTCTAGAAGGCACTAGATGTTGGCCTGGTCTACACTACAAAGTTATGTTGACAAAAGGCATCATATGTTGACCTCGTTGTGCAAGCGTCTTCACTTAAATGTGGCTCCCGATGACATAAGTGCCCCGCTATGCCAATTTAATAACACCACCTCCCTGAGCGGCATAGAGCTATGGTTGATGATTAGGTCGATGCATTGCGAGTGTAGACACTACGTTATTTACGTTGACTGTTACTGTCCTCCAGCAGCTGCCCCACGCTGATCACTGTGGTCACCATTGTGAATTCCGCTGCTCAGATGGCACAGAGGCCAGAAGCGTCTCTCCCCCACTCCCACCTTTTAAAGCCCCATTAATTTTTGAAATTCCTTTTTCTGGCTTGGCGAGCACACCTAGCAGCTCTCCATTGTTCAGTGGAACTGCCCAGCTGATGATGCTGCCTACATGCTCTGGATGTGCTCCTGCCTGGAATACACAGGAGGTATTGGATCTCCTGGGCCTTCGGGGACACGAGGCTGTGCAGGCACAGCTCCGAACTAGCAGTAGAAATGTGGATATCTATGAGCAGATTGCTCGGGGGATGCAGGAGAAGGGATACGTCAGGGACCAGCAGCAGTGTCACATGAAAGCCAAGGAGCTGTGGCAGGCATACCAGAAGGCCATCAACAATCAATCCATTGCCAAGCCATAGACCTGCCGCATTTACAAATTGCTGCATGCTATATCTGGTGGAAAAACCACCCCCCTCTCTGAAAGCACCATGGATACCTCTGAGGAGCCTGAGTCACAGACCCCCGCCATGAACAGCGAGGAGGAGGTGGTGGATGAGGAAGAGGAGGAGAAGTACGGGGGACAGATGCTGGGGGGATCCAGCTGCACAGCAAGCCAGGACCTGTTTTTGACTCCAGCACAGTCCAGCCAGTCCCACCAGTTGAGCACAGGAGAGCCCGATGCAGAGGAAGAAAGCTCAGATAAGTGTGTAGTTTAATTTTCAATAACAGAGATGCTCCCACCTCAAAGTAGCAGGGCACATCTTTTGAGTTATCATTAATTTACTTGTGCTAGAAGAGGGAGTGATACAGCCAAGAGAGGCAGAGTTGCTCTAGAGTTGGTGGGGGGGAATACAGAACAGTTTGTTTATGTGCGCAGGGATATCCCTTGAATCCTCTGTGGAGATCTCAATGAAACTTTCGTGGAGGAACTCTGCAATCCTCTGCCAATGGTTTCTAGGGATGGCAGCCTTATTTCTACTGCCACGGTAGGACACTTTCCCACGCCAGTCAGCGATAACTTTAGCAGGCACCATTGCAGTACGCAGTCTAGGAGCATACGGCCCTGGGCAGCTTCTGGACACCAGCAGCAGCTGTGTTCTCTCTGCCTCTGTTACCCTCAGGAGTGAAATATCAGCTAAAATCACCACTGCCTGTGGAAAATGGTGCCGGTATTTAGTGCCAACTGTGCCATTGCCCTATACTTCTAGAATCATAGAATATCAGGGTTGGAAGGGACCTCAGGAGGTCATCTAGTCCAACCCCCTGCTCAAAGCAGGACCCATCCCCAACTAAATCATCCCAGCCAGGGCTTTGTCAAGCCTGACCTTAAAAACCTCTATAAGGAAGGAGATTCCACCACCTCCCTAGGTAACCCATTCTAGTGCTTCACCACCCTCCTAGTGAAAAAGTTTTTCCTAATATCCAACCTAAACCTCCCCCACTGCAACTTGAGACCATTACTCCTTGTTCTGTCATCTGCTACCACTGAGACCAGTCTAGATCCATCCTCTTTGGCACCCCCTTTCAGGTAGTTGAAAGCAGCTATCAAATCCCCCCACATTCTTCTCTTCTGCAGACTAAATAGTCCCAGTCCCCTCAGCCTCTCCTCATAAGTCATGTGC